TTTTAGGAAAGAGCGATCTGATTTCAAGTGGGGTGGGGAGGGGTCGGTGGCTGGAACACCTGTCGTGAAGCTGTTCGCATAGCAAGCACAGGACCTTTTTCCTATATTAATGGTTCTTTGGGATGGTTGAAATGACCTTTGTACATTAAGCACATTACTTTAAAAAATAGATTATAAATTCATTTAGGATAACCTGGGTGGAGCGCTAATGGATATTGGAGCAGCTAAAGTCTGCCCCATCCCCCACTTCCACTCCCACAGTCACCTCTATGTAAAAATACTGCCTACGTTTCTTTATGCAAACTCAGACGTGGAAAATATTCGTCCAAAAAAAGTTTGAGAGGCTCTCTGGGCCTCCAAGGTCTTGCTGCCCTCCTTGCCCTCAGGGTCATCATGTTAAATGAGGAAATCGTCAGCAGGTTTCTGTGCAGATGGGCAAATAACCTACTCCTAAAAGGTAGAGCTCCTAAAAGTTATCATTATTTTAAAACTTTACAGTGAAGTATAATATGCGGTGAAGAAAACAGCATGTGTCATAGGTTCACAGTTTAATGAAATTTTCGCAAACCAAACCCACCTATGTTACCTGGATTCAGATCAAGAAATAGAGCTTTACCAGCATCCCCAGAATCCATTTCCCCTGCCAGTTGCTATTCTCCAAAGGTAACCAATAGCCTGACTTCTGATAACAGACATTAGTTTTTCCTGTTCTTTATATAAATGAAATCACGTAGTAAGTACTTCTTTCATTCAACATAATATCCGTGAGATTTATGTTACGTATATGTTGTGGTTCATTCATTCTCACTGCTGTGAAGTATTCCTCTCTATTGCTAGACCAGAATGTATTTTATCCATTCTACTATTGGTGGACATGTGAGAGTTGCTAGACTTGGACTATTATGAATAGCGTTGCTACAAATATTCTTGAATATGTCTTTTGGTAAAGTTAAATGTGCATTTCTCTTGGGTGTATACCTACAAGTGGAATTGCCGTCTGATAGGTTATCTGTATGTTCAGCTTCAGTAGATATTCCCAAAGAGTAGATTAGTTCCACAGTGTTCATACCAACTGACGCTGCCGCCATCAGTGAGTGAGCACTCTGGTTGTTCCACATTCTTCCCAAAAGTTGGTATGGTCAATTTTTTTCATTTTATCCATTCTGCTGTACATAATGGTGTCTTATAGTAGTTTAAATCTGCAATTTTCTGACCATTAATGAAGTGGAACACGTTTTCATATGTTTATTGGCCATTTCAGGAACCTCTCTTCTGAAGCACCTGTTCAAATCCTGTGCCCATTTTTCTACTAGTTGTCTGCCTTTTACTTATTGTTCTTTATATACTCTTGATATGGGTCCTTTGTGAATATTTTCTCTCACTCTCTTCCTTGCTTCTAAAAGCTTTTGAATTTTTTGATGTATAGTGCGAAGAAACTAACTGGCCTTTTACCTAAATTGCCTATTGGTTATCTCAATATTAGTGATGATCTTTCCATTCCCCTTTATTTCTTTTTGCTTGTTTTAGTATCTTATACTATGCATAAAAATTCAATATCTTTCTTGGTCCTAATTCCTAATTCCCAGGAGGGAGAATCTGATTAGCCCAGCTGTGGCCAAAAGATAGGGTCTCATGGAACAGCCGTGAGTGTTGGGGCCCCACCCCTGTGCACGAGGAAGGAAGGTGATTAAAGGGATTGTGAGGAGCAAGAAAGACACCCCAGAAAAGTGGTGATCACTTCCTCCTGGAAGTGGTAAACACAGTGTTTTCATCCTCCCTTAGGTGTTGGCCAGAAGAGAGAAAGTAGTGCATGTTGGTGAGCAGAATTACCTCCTGTTTACCTGGAGGATAAGGCCACTTCCTGCTCCCAGAGGCTGTCAGATATCTGCTGGAGTTTCTGAGTAAAAGTAGACGTTGTCCTAAGGGGACTCTAGCCATTCAGCATCCATTTCTTCACCGGATATGTGCTGAGCATCTGCTATTCACCAGGCCCTCTATTTAATCCCTGGAGTGGAGCTCTGAAGGAATTACTATTTTCAAGTGTTTGTAAGTGCTATTGTGACAAAAAAAATAGTGACCCATAGTACAAAAATGCTATGCAGCCATTAAAATGGGGAGATAAACATACACCAACGTGACTTTGACTTTCTTCTGCTTCCTGGATGTCTGGTTAGTTATATTCTCATCTACATCAGAGATATTCTAATGGGCTGGATTGTGCTAAATCAATTTGGTTAAACTGGGAAGTGTGTTTCCAGAATCCCCTCCTGACAGGGCTCTGAGTTAGAGTCAGTCAAAAGAGGACCTGGTATGAGATTTGGAAGGCAGAATGGGAGCCTGAGCCACTCCTCGGGGGAGAGCTCTGGGATCAGATACTCTGACAGACAGAGGTGCCCATCAATGGATCCCAGCTAGTCCTCAAGGCCTTGGTGACTCCTCTCTGACCATCTCACGATTCTTCCAGAACTTCACATCCCCAGCTCTTCCCAGCTTCAGGTAAAGTCTCATTCCTATAATAAATCCCTTATAATGTGCATGGTGACTGCTCCCCTAAATGAGCTCTGACTGATACACCTAGTCATAAAGGGAGGCATCTAGGGAGTGGTTAAGAGTGTGGGCCCTGGATTCAGATGGCCAGGGGTGACCGTTAAGAAAGATAACCCACATGCAGCACTTAACACGATGCCTGCCACACAGTTACCACCCAATAGACATTACGTAATAAGTAATGGCTGTCTTCAGCTTGGCCCTCAGTGCCTGGGACAGTATTTCTATTTATCTTTAATTGACTTGCTGTTGGATTTCTACTCCCCTCAAGCCCTTGTAACCTCCCCCTCTCTATCAGCACATAACACAAGTTCAACTGAAGAATTCTAGGACAGCTCTTCTTGAAGTGGGGCAAGACGGCATCGGGCAAGGAGGGGGAATGACTGGTCAGCCTCCCCTTCTCCCCCAACATGGAGATTCTAATGCACCCCTCTATAGGGGGCATTGTCAGTGCTCCACATCTCCTCTCATCCCCTCTGTGTGTGTGTGTGTGTGTGTGTGTGTGTGTGTGTGCGCGCGCGCACGCGCGCGTCTGTCATCCTCCAGCCTCCTCCCTCTGCTTTCTCTGCCGATAGCCAGCACCTGTAGCTCTTCTTTGGAGACTTGCCCTCAGCCTACTGGAGCCCTTTCACGGCTCCAGAGGCAAGCCTGGGACTTGACATCCCAACAGTGTGCCTTCACCAAGCCAATCGCTGACAGTGACAGCTTGGCTCTGTTGCCTGTAGTCAGGCTTATGCTCCAGAGCTCCCTGGGGACCAGGCTGAAGCCACCTTCTGTGAGCCTTTGCTTGAGAGCTCCCCTGCTGGGCTTCCTCCCCTTTCCTGTCCCGCCTCTCTCACTCTGCTCACTGGTTTCTCCTGGGAGCACTTCTTTAATAAATCACTTGCATGTGAATCCTCATTTCAGGGTCTGCTTCTGGGAAACTCATCCTAAAACATAAATCCTCTAGGGGTTTTTGAAAATGTGCTACTCCACCCCACCCCAAGAGGGCAAGTGCAGGGAGGAGGAATGTCTGACAGACGTTGAGGTCCATGTGCTTCCAATGGGCTCCACTGTCTCCAAATAGGTGTGTCTGGGATGGCTCATGGACCAAGTGGGATCTGCTCAGGGGCACCAAGGATGGGAGTTGATTAGGTGGAGAGAGCGAGGGGTACACCAGGAAGAAGTGAGGACCTGGTTCTGCCATTAAGTAGCTGGGTGATCAAGTTAACTAGTAAGCTAGCTATAAAATGGGAATGATACTCGTACCTGACCCATAGTGTTGTGGTGAAGATTAAATGAGGAAATCCATGTAAAGCTCTTAATCTAGTGCCTAGGATCTTGTAAGCGCTCAATAAATGTTACTATCACTATTGTGCCTTATTTTCTCATAGTACTTTGTGAGGGCTTCTGTTTCACCTCAAATCATTGTCTCGTAGGTATGTGTCTGTCTCCCCCTTTATGCAGTGAGACCTGGAGGGTCAGGAAGCACTTTTGTGGGGTACCTAAATCCCATGGGGCCTTACCCAGCAATTCTAGATGCCAAAAAGTTAGTAAATACTTGTGAAATTAAACAGAATTAACCAAGGACAGGGAGTGGGGAGCAAATCATGACAGAGAGGGAGAGAAAGAAAAGAAGAAATAGAAGGGGAGGGGGGAGATGCAGAGGGAAGGAGAGAAAATATCCTTCTTAAGGGTGCTGCTCCTTTTTTGATTAGTTTTGGGGCAAAATATAACCTAATCCTCAAGGACAAAGGACCTCAGAGAGATTTTAAGCCCACTATGAACTTCCTTCACCTAAGTTCAAACAACGCTGTGTTTGAACCACTCATAACTCACATCCTGTAAGGCTGTGTTTCTCCTGTTGCTGTTCTATGTATTGCCCTTACATCTCTGGAAGCCCTTATTTCTTAGCCCTCACAAGAATCCTCTAGCCCTCATTCTTACTCATGGTCAAGGAAAAGGAAACAAGGTGGTATAGTAGGAGTCCTAGCTTTAGAGTCAGATACACTTGGATTTTAATCTTGGTTCTGTGTGATCTTCAGCAAGTCCTTAACTTCTCTGAGCTTCAGTTGCCTCATGTGTAACATGGGGATGATAATAGTACCTACTTCACAGGGTCATTGTGTGAATTAGAAATAACGTGTGAGGGGCCAGCCCAGTGGCGCAGCAGTTAGGTTTGTGCATTCTGCTTCTCAGCAGCCCAGGGTTCACCAGTTCGGATCCCGGGTGCGACGTGCCACCACTTGGCAAAAGCCATGCTGTGGTAGGCGTCCCACGTATGGGGTAGAGGAAGATGGGCATGGATGTTGGCTCGGGGCTAGTCTTCCTCAGCAAAAAGAGGAGGATTGGCAGTAGTTAGCTCAGGGCTAATCTTCCTCAAAAAAAAGAAAAGAAGGAAAGAATGCGTGAAAAGCCCTTAGCACCGCATGTGAGACACAGCCCAGGAAATAAATGAGCCCCACACAGAGAAGTAAGGCTTGTAGGTTTTAATGTTTCATGACTGGTAATAGGGTAGTCTCAAGGAGGTCCCCAGAGAATCTCTTCTGAGTCTAGAAGCACTTCCTGTGGACAATGGAGGGCCCGGCCTCGTCATACTCTGGCTTGCTGATCCACATCTGCTGGAAGGTGGAGAGAGAGGCCAGGATGGAGCCTCCGATCCAGACTGAGTACTTCCGCTCTGGGGGAGCAATAATCTGCAAAGAGCAAGTGTTGCAAACCATGATGAGTCCCCAAGGACTAGGGAAGGTGGTCCAGGAATCATCTTACCACACTGCAGGCTGCCCCGGAGAAGGACAGCCTTCATGGTCAGAAACGAACAGTGGAAATCTTGGGGTAGATTAGATTATTGTTCAAATTTTTACTCTCCCTCCTCCTATCCCCTGCCCCTCCGTGGGAAGAGTGCATGTTCCACCCTGTGACTTTGGGCTGGACCCTGTATTTGCTTTGACTAATGTGATGTCAGTGGATAGGACACAAATAGGGCCTTGGAATGTGCTTCAGGCATGCAGTAGGGCATGCTCTCTTGTGCCTCTGCCATCTTCTTGTGAAGACCTCCCCTTGAGGAGCTGCTGGCCCTTCAGCCTGGACCCCTTACTGAGAGATGTGGACCTGACCTGAGCTGGCTGGACCTGTAGCGCTGCCTAGCTAAGCCTGACCTAGATGAGCTGACTTGCAGATGCACGAGCAATAAATACTTATTATCTACCCTGAGATTTCATAGCGGCTTGCTGCTCATGGATAACTGACCAATACATACATCTGTAGGGGGAGCGCTGTTCTGCTCCTGCCTTTAGTTTGCATACATGGGCAGATCGGGCCGGGCTTCCTCCATTCCTAAGTCTAAGCCAGTCTGCTCAGGGCCTGTCTTGAGCTTCACGTGTCAACAGCCACTTGTATCTGAGATGTGCTCAAATTCATACATACGTTGTTCATTCTTGCTACTGGGAGTCCTCAGCTTAGCATTTAGAAATAGATTGTCACATCAAAGAACTTTGAGCTCCACCTAAAAGTGGATGCAGAAGGACTGTGACTCGTCAACTCATTTCCAAGTTTCTGAAGAGTCTAAGAATTTTAGTGCTAGACCAAACTAGACACTAAATTTTTTTTTATCTCCTTAGAATCTCTCTACATATTTCCTAAATTGCAGAAATCATGGGATTGCAGAACAGAAGCTTCTTTAGAAGTTATCTTATTATTCATGCAGACAAAAGTCACCCAGACACTCCTTGGATAGATGCCTCAAGGACCAGCACAGCCACTAAAAAGGTGACAGATTTTATTGCTGGGAAGTTTTAATTGTGAGAAAACTCTGGCTTATCTTGGGATGGAGGTCCTAAATCTCAGGCCCACCTCCACCCCACATCTCTTCTTCCATATCCTTAAGGCTTGCCTCATCTCCTTCAATTCCTCTTCACAAACCTTGCTGTCTAATTTGACTGGGGTGTTCGTACATGCACACGTACCCCTGGGCACATTTTCTCACTCTAGTTCCCCTGCCTGGAGTGCCCTTTCCCCTCCTCTTGTCTTGCCCTTCCATTGGTTGTGTCTACTAATTACACCTAAACTCCTTGAAGGCCAACACATGTTGCTAAACTCAGGGCAGTAGATCACAAATTGGGATGTGCATCAAATCACTGGTGTTCATTATCAATGTAGGTGTAGACCTACTGAACTGGAACCTGGGGGTGAGGCTAGGCTACACGTGGTCCTGGTAAAAAAACCCCTGCCCCAGGCCTGGCATAATGCCCTCATAAGGTAGGCCTCAGTAAACATGGCTACTCCAGTGGCTCTGGGTGAGGAGAAGGGCCCACAAGTTTGCACCTATTTCCTGGGGGCCCACTCTCCTTCCCTGTGCTGAGCACCATCTGCTAGGCAGGGGAAAGGCCTGGGGCAACCTTCCTTTGCGAAGCAGGTTCTTAGAGTACTGACATAGAGAATACATGTCCTCAGATCAGACCTGCCCCCAGAGACCAACTTTATTGTGAGACTTTGTAACTTTCAACCTATTTGTTCTCTCTGTTCTATGCCTAACTCTTTTTCTAAACCTGCTAGCAACAAAGTCCTTAGAAGCTCTTATATGGTCTGTATTATTGCTTGGGGACCAGAGGCTGGGGAGAAGCAGCAAGACAGGTGGGCTGCCATTCTCCGAAGCCTCTGAGGTGAGAAGCCCTGCTGAGAAGCAGCATGGGGAGGCTGTGGCCCAGCCAAGAGGGCAGATCAGAGGTTGTCCAGGACTCAAGAAATGTCCCTGTGAGTTTGAACCAGCAGCCTGCCCCATGGCCAAACATTCCCTCTTTGGAAATTTCACCCTCCTCTGGGGTAACACCCAAGCCCTTTTTAAAGTTTAAAGATGCTGTAGCATTGTCTCATTCTTTTCTTCTCCTTTATTTCCCTCCTTCTGATTTCCTCCCCAAACTCCTCAATATTCTCTTCATCCCAAATTCTTTCACCCCATCCCTGTATAGAGTCCATGTGATTACGTTTGAGAGCCCATGCTAAACGTATGTCCAGCCCATCAGTGCCCAAGGAACATAACCCCCCGAGATGATATAACTCTCCCAGACCAGGATGATGCTGAACCCAGGAGATCACCAAGCTACTCGCCTGGTAGCCTGACTCTGAGCATCTCTCAAGTAGACAGGTCTTTGTACAAAGAACAGGATGGAGAAAAACTGGGGCAAGACCCACCTTGATCTTCATGGTGCTGGGCGCCAGGGCTGTGATCTCCTTCTGCATCCTGTCAGCAATGCCAGGGTACATGGTGGTACCCCCGGAGAGGACATTGTTGGCGTATAAGTCCTTACGGATGTCGATGTCACACTTCATGATGGAATTGTAGGTTGTTTCATGAATTCCAGCAGACTCCATGCCTAGTGGAGACCACAGTCAACACCCGCTGCTTCATAAATACCCACACCTCCAGCTCCTCAATGCTCCTTCTGTGGTTGCACCTACCCTAGTTCAGGCCCCTAATTACCTCCCAAATGGATTGCAAGATCAGATCTTCTGACGGGTCTTTGCCTTGCCTTTAGTTTCACCTGTTCTAGTCTATCTTTCATACTGTTGCCTGAGGTATGTCTCTGAAGCAACACTTTCATCATATCATCTTTTTTTCCCCACAGCTTTATGGAGATATAATTCATCTACCATAATATTCACCCTTTTAAAGTCTACAGTTCAGTACTTTCTGGTATATTCACAGAGTTGTGCAACCATCTCCATAATCTAATTTTAGAACATTTTTAACACCCCAAGAAGAAACACCGTACCAATTAGAAGACACTCCCACTTTTTCCCATCACCGCTTCCCCAGCCCCAGGCAACCACTAATTTACTTTCTGTCTCTATAGATTTGCCTGTTCTGGACATTCCATATAAATGTAATCATACAATAGGTGGCTTTTTGTGTCTGGCTCCTTTCACTTAGCATAATGTTTGCAAGCATATTCATCCATGTTATAGCATGTGTCAGTACTGCATTCTCTTTTGTCGCCAAATAATATTTCATTGTATGGACATCCTCATATCATCTTTGACAGTTCCCCATTGCCTACAGGTTGATATGTAGCTGCCTTAGCCTGGCACCAAGATCTTCCACAGTGAAAGGCCCTGCATGCCAAAACAGCTCATGCCCACCTACCTGGGCTCCCCCACCTCTAGTCTTTTTTCCACATGATATAAATTCCACAACGTAGAGAGAGGAATCTTCCTAAAATACAAACCTGACCTTGCTACGCTGCTACCTGAAAACTTCCAGGGGATCTCCACTGCTGATATGATTAACCCTCATGCTTTTTTTGTGGTTGAGCAACTCGCCAATTTCCCCTGTGTGCAAACACACACACACCTACACACAGAACTTTCCCATTGTGTCCCAAAGAGAATATGACCTTTCACACACCTCCACACCTTTGCACATACCATTCCATCTGCCTTGCCTGCCATGCCCCGCTCTGTACTCATTCTGTCCCCAGATACCATAAAATGATACTCCTTCTTCAGGGTTCTGTTCATATGTTCACCTTCTCTAAGGAGCCTTAAATGATTTCTTAGGCTTATAGCACTCTGTCCAGTTAATTTGCTATTTACCACTACCCTGTATACCGACATTTGCTTGCAAGCCCATCTTTTCTTATACATTCCTCAAGAAAGTAGTTGTCGTATGAGATATTATCCTATTTAATCCTTGTTGTAACCCTATCTAGTAGATACTATCATTATTTCCATTTTATAGATGAGAACAATGAGGTTTGAAGAAGGTAACGTGTCCACTGTGACAGGGCTTATGGGGGAAGAATCAAGACTTTAAACTAGGTCTGACCCCCAAACCCATCCTCTTTACTACTATAGGTTTCAGCCCCCCTGACCTAAATGTTGAGTGATCCAAGAAGTCTTTTGTATGCTAACTTCATTTTCAGTTCCATCTTATATTCCTTGTCCTGCTTTTTCTTTGTCTTGATTTTCCTTACCCTTTTATTTAAAATTAGATTTTATCTATTTGTATTGTTTATAAATTTTTGACCCTTCCTGGGAAAAGATGGGCTATTTGTAAACAATAAACAAAGTGTGCATGACTCCCGGTGTTTCTCTTTCCATCCCTCACCACCCACCCCCATGCCCCACCCTCCCGATTGACAGGGACCACGGGAAGCAGCTCACCAATGAAGGAAGGCTGGAAGAGGGTCTCGGGGCAGCGGAAGCGCTCATTGCCAATGGTGATGACCTGCCCATCTGGCAGCTCATAGCTCTTCTCCAGGGAGGAAGAGGAGGCAGCTGTGGCCATCTCATTCTCAAAATCCAGGGCCACATAGCATAGCTTCTCCTTGATGTCTCGCACGATTTCTCGCTCAGCTGGAAGGAGTAGAAATGACAGAAAGTCAATCCTTAGTTCTGTTAATTTGGTTTTCCCATTTTGACCACCATGAAAACCTCCTTATTTCTACTCCGGCTTCAGTCTTAGGATGAATGTCAATGTTTTCATTCCTCTTTCTAAAGTGGGAGTATAAAAGCTTGATTTCCAAGCAAAACTTTGTACGGGCTCTTCTCCTTGCCGCCTTCACTCTGCCTTGACAAAGCTCAGGCCTTGCTGAGGGCCTTGCAGGATACATTTCCAGGCTAGATGTAGGCTTATATGTTATATGTTACAGAATCTAGGAATGTCCTTACCTAAAAACTCCTCTTGCCCCGGTGGGTCATTGAGGCATGACACCTTCCCCTTAGAAATTCAGACCTTATTTATTCCATGTGTCCTGAGACAAACCATAAATGCCCTTAGGAAATGAAATGCATCACTAGATTTTTATTACCATTCAGCCCTGTAAAAACTAGCTCTGATCCTGGTGTGGACGTGGGCAGATGTAGCAGGTCCCTGGGGCATTTAAAGGAGGGCTCAGCCGAATGCTGTTTAGGGTAAGTAGAACTCAGCCTTGTCCCCCTCCCTGGGGTGTCAGTTGAGAACCTTCCTCTTTAAATAAGGCTGCCTTGACCATCTGGTCTTGTCTAGAGGTCCAGCCCCAGCCTAAGGCTTCCTTGTCTACCCCAAGAGAGTCTGAGGACATGGGGCCACAGACTTCTCATCAGTCTTGAGAATTTCTGGTCCTAGATCAGATTTGGTTTTGAGCTCAAGTCAGAATCAGGAAAGGGGCTGATACCTGTGGTCACAAAGGAATAGCCTCTCTCTGTGAGGATCTTCATGAGGTAGTCTGTGAGGTCGCGGCCAGCCAGGTCAAGGCGCATGATGGCGTGGGGCAGTGCATAGCCCTCATAGATGGGGACATTGTGGGTGACGCCGTCCCCAGAATCCAGGACAATGCCTATGGACAGAGCGGATAGGACCTATGAAAACTTTTCTTGTCTTTCATCTGTCTCTTTCTGGGATGAGTTACCAAATGGTCTTCAACTACCATATTTTTCTTCAGCAGCTAAGAAATTTCACCCACCGTGAGAATCATAATATTTTTTGTATACGTTGGTTTTTGTGTACATCAGTTTATTCTCCCAAATGAGATGTAGGCTTTTGGAAGCAAGTAAAATGTCTCCTTCTCTTGTATTTCTTGAAACACTTTCACAATAATGCACACTTGTCAATTTGCATCTAGACTGCACATTCTTTAAGTGGGACACATCCTTCAGGCATCAAACTAACACATATGCACATGCATTTAGAACGTTAAATCTTGAAAGGACTATAAAAACCAGCCAATTTGAAAAAAGTTGACATTCTCTACCAATGAAATTTTTAGTAAACAATGAAGGGAAATAAGCTTTCTCAACATGATGAGAAATCTCTCTCGATCCAATGACCACATCATAATTGATGGGGAAACACTAATATTGTTATTGTATTGTTATTATTTAATATTGTCCCGAACATTCTAGCCAATGCAATAAGACAGAAAATAGAAATGGGGTATTATTATCAAAGGGAAGCAGATGTCATTATTTGCAGATGATGTGGTTGTGTACGTGGAAGACCCAAGAGAATCAACTGAGGAGTGATTAGAGCTAACAAGATGGTTCAGTAAGGGCCGGATGCAAAATAAACATCCAGAGACCTGTAGCTTACTCTTGTACAAGGATGTTGATCTCAGCGTATTTTATAATGAAAAATAAAAATTGGAGGCAACCTAAAGGTCAAGCAATATAGAAATGATAAGTAAGTAAATTATTAACAATTTATATTAATAATTTATATAAATTAATAAGTAAATGACTACCATGCGGCTATTAAATTTGATGTTTACAACATAAAATCAAGTGCAAAGTGCAGGATACAAAACTGTATACACCCCAGATTTCCCCATAGTGTCCTTGTCACCTGCAGTGAAACTCTCTTTTACTTTTGTCTCTCCCCTACTAGACTGTTAGTTCCATAATGGCAGGGTCAATCTTGTTTGTCAGTGTGACCATGGCCTGGTGCAGTGTGTGGCATGTGGTAGGGAGTAATGGAAAATATCTGATGAATGAATGGATGACTAGGTAAATCAATGAATACAAGAATGATTGAATGTTTGAACTATGTTCATGGAAGCTGTCAAGTCCCTACTAAAAATCACTTTAGGGGCCGGCCCGGTGGCCAAGTGGTTGGGTTCGCGCACTCCACTTTGACGGCCCAGGGTTTCGCTGGTTCAAATTCTGGGCGTGCTCATCCTGATGGCACTGCTCATCGAGCCATGCTGAGGCGGCATCCCACGTGCCACAACTAGAAGGACCCACAATTAAAAATACACAACTACGTACCAGGGGGCTTTGGGGAGAAAAAGGAAAAATAAAATCTTTAAAAAAAATTTTTAAAAATCACTTTATTTTGAAATTCCCTCTGTTTCTCTGAACACCTTTCTATACCACGGCCACATACTTATACATCCACCATCACAGTTTCTGCCGTTGAGGCTTCATGAGCAGCAACATTCCAATATTGTTGCAAAGTGTGTATAAACTCACGGACTGACTACTGTGAGGGAAATGGCCCTTGCTGGATATACTAGTCATGGTTTGTTCATGTAAACTCTTTCCAGCTGTACTGGCTAGACTTGCACGTGCATTCTATGTGGGCATTCCCTTCTGTTATCCCTAAGCGAGATTTTCCCTGGACGTGGGCTGTCCATTTGATTCTTCTGAGCAGGAGACTCTGCAGGAGCCCAGCTTCTCCTTACCTCCCCCTGAAGTCAGAAAGGGAAAGGACTACAGGGCTGCTCACCTGTTGTGCGGCCAGAAGCATAGAGGGAGAGCACAGCTTGAATGGCGACATACATGGCAGGGACATTGAAGGTTTCAAACATAATCTGAAAGGACAATGCAGAATAAAAGATTGGCAACATTGACAGCACCTCTTGGCCCACAGGATGGTTTGTAATCTTATTAAGGGCAGGGGCTGTGCCCTACTCCCCACTCCCACCTTCTGTAAGGCCTGGCATGGACTACACACATAGCGGGGCCTCAAAAAATTCTGTTGCATTGATACCTGAATGGGAGAAAAATCTGGCCTAGCATCCATGTTGCACTGTTGTGCCAGTGCTCAAGTCTTCTTGGCCTCTTACCTGAGTCATCTTCTCCCTGTTGGCCTTGGGATTTAGGGGGGCCTCCGTGAGCAGAGTGGGGTGTTCCTCAGGTGCTACCCGCAGCTCATTGTAGAAGGAGTGGTGCCAGATCTGGTCGAGACAAAAGTCAAATGAGCCCAGCAGATTCCCATTGGTCTGGTAAATTCCAGTTGACATGTTCATGCTGGGGGAGTGTGGCACAATGTTCACAAGATTGGCTGGATCTGGAGAGGGAGACCTGTCAGCCTTGGGAATTTCTGATTGACATGTAGAGGTTATATTCCTTTTCAACAGGGCCCCAGACGGAGGGGTTATATTCCTTTTCTTCCAGGGCTTTGGCTCTCTCTGAGCGCTAGTGACACTGCCCCTCCTCCCTTCCCAGTTTCAGCCTTAGGGGTGTGAGAGCGTCCCTCTGTTGCTAGTATTTGGGTGCCTCAACATCCCTTTCTGGTTGCCTTAACCCTGTTTGCACCTCTGCAAGTAGTCCTTCCTTAAGTTAATTTCAAAACCCCAGCTGAGCATGTACTGTCTCCTGCTGGGAACGTGACAGATACATTGAACTTTCAGTTTACTGTTCACCAGGCTGATGCTTTAGAGTGGAGTTTGTCAACCTCGCACTTTGACATTGTAGGTTGGATAATTCTTTGCTGTGGGGGGCTGTGCTGTGCATTATAGGATGTTTAGCAGCATCCCTGGCCTCTACCCCGTAGATGTCAGTAGCACCTCTCCAGCTATAACAAGCAAAAATATCTCCAGACATTGCCAAATGTCCCCTGGGAGGCAAAATTGCCCCGGTGGAGAACCAGTGCTTTGGAGGAACTTATTTATTCCTTCTGTGTCCAGTTCCCTCTTCAGTGATGTGGGATGACCAAACAGGAGTCTTTATTTCAGAGGGATTCAGCAAAGAGTGGCAGAGACATAGAGCTTTGATTTCCCCAGAGATGGGGCGGAGGGTCATTTGATTCCATTGTACCCATATATTTACGGACCCCGGCATTGTGCTCCGATGGTGCTAAATGTGATGAGGGTTGATGTGAATCAGACATGGCTCCTAGATGTTAGTTTCAAAGTCTGGAGGGGAGAAAGACAGGCAAAATGACAAAATACAAAGACATATCCACTTTTTAGATGAAAGAAGCAGCAGGAGCAGTTCATTTTCTGGGGGATTTGAGCAGGCACTGAAGACAAAGGAGGGTCTCCAGAGGCTTCAAAGGGCATCTGAGGCAGCAGAAACGGCACGGGCAGAAGCCCTGGACTGTGAAAGTTTCACAGGAGCGGGAAGGAGATGGCAATTAGGCTTAATGAGGTGACGCCAGTGTTTCTTCAGATGTGGGCCCCAGACGGCTTGTCCCAGAGCCACCCTCGAGAATTGTTACCGGTGCAGTCCCCAGGCTGCGTCCCAGCCCAGGAGTCAGAATTTATGGGTGTTGGCCCAAGCATCTGCACTGCATTTTATTTCATTCTTTTGGAGTTTTTATAAAATACTTTAAAAATTAAAGTTATTGATCATTTTTAAACTAGAAAAAATATTTTTCAGAGGAATAAAAATCTCCCATATTTCTATCACCTAATAATAAACAGTTAATATTTTGGGTTTTTTCTTTTTCTTAATCTTTCACCTTTATGTATTTTCAAATTTATTATTATTAGCGTTTATTTATTTCATATGCTTTTATTTATTTGTTATTATATTATTATTGTACTTTTATGTTGAAATTTGTTTCCTGCCACTTTTCAGTTAATGTAATTTCCTTTTTCATAGTAAATATTTATTTTTAGTAAATTGAACAAACATTCATTTTTAATACTTACACAACATTTCCTTATGTTCCATCACATATTTAATCACATTACTATTCAGGTATCTTCAATTTTCATTTATAAATAATTCTATGGTAGCTATTTTTGTGCATATTATATTTTCTCTTTTTTTAACATCTGCTGGCAATCCTCCTCCTTTTGCTGAGGAAGACTGGGGCTGAGCTAACATCCATGCCCATCTTCCTCTATATGTGGGATGCCTGCGATAGCATTTTGTGCCAAGTGGTGCTATGTCCACACCTGGGATCTGAACCGGCGAACCCTGGGCTGCCGAAGCGGAACGTGTGCACTTAACCACTGCACCACCGGGCCGGCCCCCAACATTTTCTCTTTTTATTCAGGATGTTTCCCAAAGAAAAGAAGGCTAAAAGTGGAATTACTGAGCTAAAGCGCAGAGCAATTGGAAGACGTTGATTTCTGTTACCATTAAAGACTAAATTACTCTTTACTCCAGGACAAGAAAGGTCTGTTCTACCTCACCTTACTTGCGTTCAGTGTTCTCACTCTTAAAATATGAAATAATTTGATAGGTAAAATAATACCTAGTTGGTTTACTTTGAATTTTTAAATTTGTTTCAAATGAGTTTAAACTTTTTCAGACTGGCGACTTTTTATAATTTCTGTTTGGCAAATTATCTGTTCATGGCCTTTGTTTGTCTGGGGGAGACCGGATGTTTTTAATTATCAGTTTGTGTTGCTGTTTATATTAATCCTTCACTGCACTTGTGAATTTTTTTTGAAGCTTGTCATTTGCCTTTTAAATTTGATTTTTCACATGCTGGAAGTTATGACCTCTATGAAGTCAAATTTGTCATTCTTTTTCTCTGACTTTTTTCACCAGAAATTTGATAAATACTCACACTTACTATATTGTGTTTTTTTATTATTTGGATTTTTATATTTAACTTTTCTATCCAACTGATATGTGCCTAGTGAAAACAGTATGAGATAAGGGCAATAAACAAAGATTCCCAAGCCCCCAAATTAGTTATTTACTTAGTTGTCCCGGAATAATTCGTTGAATAATCCTTTTCTCTCTTATGGTGTTGGAAGTTTCATTTATCATATATTTCCTCTTTGCTTTTGTGCTGATACCAAATTGTTTTAATTTTTATAACTCTATATTTTAATATTTGGATATGGCAAATCTCCTCTTATAATTTTTGTTATTCATTTTGTTTTCATAATTTTTGCCTTATTTATTTCTCCAAACATACTTTATGATTACTTTGCATAATTAAAAACTGATTTTTTTAAGCCAAACTCATAGAAGTAGCTGAAGAATGGTACTTACCAGGGGCTGGGGGGAGGGGGAAGTGGGGAGATGTTGGTCAAGGGGTACAAAGTGTTAGTTATCCAGGATGAATAAATTCTGGAGATTAATGTATAGGGTGGTGACTATAGGTGACAATAGTGTACTGTATACTTGGAATTTGCAAGAGGGTAGTTCCTAAGTGGTTTCACTACAAGAAAAAAACAAAAGGTAACTATGTGAGGTGATAGATACCTTAATCAGCTTGAATGCGGTGACTGTTACACAATGCACATATGTATCAGATCACCATGTGGTACACCTTAAATGAATACAATTTTAAAAATTGTGAGATTTCTATTGGAATGGCCATGAACCTACTAATTAATTTTAGAAGATCTGACAGCTTTAGTCATTCAGTTTTCCTTTTAAAGCCCAGAACATATTTTTAGGGGTTTCTTTAAGAAGTTCACATATTACTACTGTGAAAAAAAAATTTTGTCTATCGTGTTTTCAACTTACGTTTTGTTAGATATATATGAATGATATATGCTGTTTATGGAGCATTAAGTATGGTCCATGCCTTGGGATTACACTAAGTATTTACCGAATTCAATCTCCAAAGCCATCTAATGAAGAAAGTATTTTTACCTCCACAAATGAGGAAACTGGGGCTTATAGGGAAGGATGGAGCCCAGGTCTCCTTGCCACTGACTCCAGCGTGTGTGCTCTTAACTGCTCCGCTGAGTGAAGTGGAAGCTATTGTATTTTATCTATTTATCTCACATCCAGAGTGACTCAACCGAGGATTTAGAGAAAAGTCTGTATGCGTTATAGATTTCAAATCTACAGTCTCTATTCCCAGGGGCAGTCTGCTCAATTAGCTCTCTATTACATTTCAGGAGGCAGTCACTGCAGAAACGAGAACTCTCAGACAACTGTCAGCAGAATTTATCAAAAGAATATTAGAAAGACTCTATTAGCATTTTGCACACATGATTTTGTTTATCACAATTATCATTTAAAAATTGAACCCCCTCCTTGCATTTTCTTATGCAGAAAAAAAAGGTTTTAGAAACCCCTAGACATTCCTACCTAAAATTTTCATTAGAGAATCATCATCATAATATAGCATCAGTGCACATATCTGAAGTCATGACAGGGAAAATAAAAGGGAGAGAAGTCTATTTGCCTCTCTCAAGGCAGCATCAGCATTTTAAAGATGGAATAAGCACTGGGCTGGAGTGAAAGCTGCGTGAAAGGATGAAGCTGGGAGTTAGGCATGACCAGGTCCCCAGATGCCAAAGAAAGTTAGGAACCTATTGTTGGTTAGTGAGGAGCTACTGAAGATTCCTCAGGAGGTGAGTGGAGGACCTGATCTGTTTTTAGAAAGATAAGCTTTGCAGCAGCATAGAGAATTAATTGGGTAAGTGAGGCAGGAGACAAAGAAATCAGACAGGAGGCCATTGCAATAACCAAGAGATGTTGGCAGCCTAGGCTGGAGAATGGCCATGGAATGGACAGGAAGTAAGGAAGGATGTGAGAAACATTTTAGAGGAAGAGTTGACAGGGCACAGTAGCCTGTGGGATGACAGGGTCCTGATGATGTATTATCATTAAAATGAGCACTTTAAAGGGGGCGTCCACGGATACCTTCTCCATGTCGTCCCAGTTGGTGATGATGCCGTGTTCAATGGGGTATTTGAGAGTTAGGATTCCTCGCTTGCTCTGAGCCTCATCCCCCACATAGCTGTCTTTCTGGCCCATTCCCACCATTACACCCTGCAACGCAAAAGAGGAGAGAGATATGAATTGGCTGAGGGCTCCCCTCAGAGGGATCCAGGCATTACAGGGTCTCTGAGGAAGGATGAAGATAGGAAAGACATCCTTTTTCCCCTGGAACTAGGACAGCAGGAGACAAGGATGGGGGCAGATACTGATGAACGTGGCAGGGATGGAAGGGAAGGTGGAAGATTTCTTGTGGACTTGTCTCTCTTCTCTTTCCTAAGACTATGTAATTTTCTGAGAGAGAACAAAGCCCATCCATGCACTTCTTCCCCTTCGCTTACTTTACACACACACACACACACACACACAGGACTTGTACTTGCCCTCCTCTGAGAGCCTTTGCTCCCTCTCTTCTCTCCACCTGCTGAGACCCACCTCATTCTCAGTTATCCCCTTTTCTATAGAGTCTCTCTCTTCCCTAGTCCCTCCCTTCAGATTTAATCTCTCCCTCCTTTGTGCTCCCCTGGGGTAATATTTAGCCTCTATTTCAGCCTGTGACTTCAAGTTAGCTGTGTGTATATCTTCATGGAGTGTAAATTTCTTAAAGGCAAGGGGCTTGTTTGATTACATATATTTCAAAAAGTTTTCTTCCACACCTCACAACCCCAAAGACTTAAGCCAGACACAATACTATCATTTCGGGCCTGATAGATGTTGGTTTTGGTCTTGAGTATTTCTATTTACTAACTCAGAAGAGATTCCTCCACCCCCAACACATACACGCGCATATTCACACACGCACACATTCATATTCACACACACGCATGCACACACAGCCCAGCATAGTCTTCACAATGCAGCACTTACTCCTAGTAGCTCAAAGACTTGGGTCCAAATGAGCACACACCTGGTGGCGAGGGCGGCCCACGATGGAGGGGAAGACAGCCCGGGGGGCGTCATCTCCTGCAAAGCCAGCCTTGCACAGGCCAGAGCCATTGTCACACACAAGCGCAGTGGTCTCCTCTTCACACATGGTGAGTGTGGCCGAGTAAACCAGGGGCTGGAGCACCTTGGGGTTGGGGGAGGAGAGAACGTTACCCACTTGTCAACATCATGTTGGAGCCAGTCTTCTTGGTTTTGGGGCCCCACCCCGTGGGCAACGAGGGTCCAGTTCCAGGAAGGACTAGGTGTGGACCCAGCCTCCCACTCTGTGGGAGTTGAGCTTCTTTCTTCTACCTGCTGTTAGAGGCTGAATTGTGTCCCCCTTAATTCCCATGCTGGAGTCCTAACTCCCAGTACCTCAGAATGTGGCTGTGTTTGGGGATAGGCTCTTTAGAGAGGCAATTAAGGTAAAATGAGGTCATTAATCCAACGTGACTGGTGTCCAATATGACTAACTTAATAGGATGGGTACCTCTATAAGAAGAGGAAATTAGGACGCAGACATTCACAGAGGGAAGACCATGTCAGACACAGCAAAGACAGCCAGCTACAAGCCGAGGAGAGAGGTCTCAGAAGAAACCAACCCCGCTGACACCTTGATCTTGGACTTCTAGCCTCCAGAACGGTGACAAATAAATTTCTGTTCTTTAAGTACCAGTCTGTGGTACTTTGTTATGGCAGTCCTAGCAAATTAATTCACTTGCCTCTTAAAAACCTGAAATAGCTCTAAAGCTTTAATCCAATGGAAAGAATCTCTAAAAGACTTGAAGGTCAAGAAGGGAGTTGAAAAAATCCATAACATAACAAAGGATTATTATTTACTATATATAAAGAACGTTTACAAATCAATAAGAGAGAAATAAACAGCCCCAAAGAAGAACAAAGGCTATGAAGAGATAATTGAGTGGACGGCCCTGTGGCTGAGTGGTTAAGTTCATGTGCTTCACTTCGGTGGCCCAGGGTTTCACTGGTTCAGATACTGGGCGCGGACATGGCACTGCTCATCAGGCTGTGTTGAGGTGGCATCCCACATAGCACAACCAGAGGCACTCACAACTAGAATATACAACTATGTACTGGGGGACTTTGGGAAGCAGAAGAAGATTAAAAACAAAAAAAAGAAGATTGGCAACAGATGTTAGCTTAGGTGCTAATCTTTAAAAAAAAAAAAAGAAAGAAAAGATAATTGACAGAAAAGGAACTACAAATACCCAAGAACTATATGGAAAGATGCTCAGGCTCACTCGTTATCAAGAAAATGCAAATGAAATAAGGCCATTTTCACCCATCATGGTGTTAAGATTCAAAGTTTTATGATAGGTGTTGGCAAGGATGTAGGAAAAATGTCATTCTCTACCTAGAGGAACACACAAACACACAATTTGGAACTACCCAAAGCTCCAGATTAGGGGATACTGTCCTAAAGTTAAGAGCAGAGCCAGGCAGATCTATATGGACTAACACGGATACGTTTCTAAACCATGCCACTGAGTGAACAAAGCAAGTTGCGGAATAGAATGTAGAGCATAAAACCATTTGTGTGAGTTCTTTTTAAAGCAAAAAAACCAATATCAATTATTTTCCATAACTTTTCCATTAGTGGATGTGAACAATAGCAAAATGTTCTAGAAAAAAGTCTAAGACTAATCATAGTAACTACCTCTGGAGATGGGAATGGGACTGGGAGAGGAAGTGTCGGGTTATAGCTGTTATGTTTTAAATTTTTACGAGGAGACTGTATTCACGTAGGGTTTAAAATTAAAATCAATAACATAACATATTAAGGAAACAAAGTTGCGGTAGTTATTGGTGAAATGTACAATCCGAAGGGTAGAAGCACCTTGAGGAGGTAGGCGCAGCCTAAGAGGAGAGAGGAAAGGAAGAGAATTCACGATGGGTTGGACTCAATGCGTCCTGTCGCTTCAGACGGAGGAAACAGAGAAGCCCCCGCCAAGGCTGGTATCTGAATTGGGATGGCTGCAAAGTGATAAGGGAATGGATTTTTCCAATGTCTGTTGCAGGTTTTCTTTCTTTTTGGTTAAAAGACAACATCTGACGCATTCTTGGCACACGGTGGTAAAGGAGAAGCAACAGCAGCTCAGGAGGTGGTGAGCAGGTTGCCTCGCAGCCTGGGAAGCCCCAGGTGGGATAAAGTGGAAGTGGGAAAAGTCCTAGCTGAGAGGTTGGGAAGGCCGACTTTCAGGAGTCTGGAGAAGAGAGGCACGAGGTGTGGGACGAGAAGGTGGCTGCGGAGGAGGAAGGCCCACGGAAGCTTCGTTCAGAATGTGCGACCACAGCAGGGGAAGGAGATAGGTGCTGCTGAAACCTGTGACCTTGGCCCCTCAATGGCCTTATGCTGAAGACGGACAGCGAAAACCAACACCAAAGCAAAGAGGACACAGAGCCACGGGCCTGTGAATGCGAGGTCAGAAAGGCTAGGGAGAGACTAGCAGAAGCTTATGAACAAAATTTTTAAGGCTAAAAGGATGCCCTTCCCTATTATGTTCAAAGCAGGGTGCACGCTAGGGGAGAGGCCCACTATGATTTCGTGTCTAGTTCTGCTTCTGCCCCTGTTGATCCTCATGACCCGCTCCCCCAGCCACGGAGATCAAGTTCCCGCTCTCTAACTCGGCCCACAGGGCTCAAGAGGGTCTAGCCCCTGCCTGCGTCTCCAGGCTCATCTTCCCTCTTGCCCCTTCTTGGCCTTCTCACTCAGGCTGTATGGAGTTTCTTCTTATTTTCTAAACTGTGTCATCTCTTCTCCCTTCTGGACCTTTTGACGTAAGGCCTGGAACACGCTTCCCCCGACCTGTTTGCCACTGTCACCTGTCAGTCCTGTGTCGACACTGCATTCCCATGAGGCGTCTCTGGACACCAGTCTCAGTGCACCCTACAGCACCTTGAACTTTCCCAAGCAATGGTCAACTCTGCAGATCCCGCATCATCCGTCGCTCTGCAAAGGCAGGAACTGGGTCTGTTTTATGCCCAGGCTATTCTTCAATGTGCCTAACGCAATATCCCTCACAAAGCGGGCTCTTAAATTTTTGTCAAAATGAACGAGTGAATGAATCAATGGATGTCAAGGAGAAGATTTTCAGAACAAACATCGGTAAGAGGAAATCAAGGTCTGAGATGACATGGAGGCTGAAGGAAAGCACCTAGCTGCTGAAAACAATATCGTCTCTGGGTCTGAACAGTTTCTAGGTTGCAGAGAAGATCCTCAACCTCCTACCATCTGGGAAGAAGGGAGAAGTGGAGAGATGTCAGCAGACTGGAAATGGGCAAATGTCATTCTGATGTTCAGAAAGGGAAAGAAGACAGATTTCTAAAACCTCAGAGAATCTTGATGTGCAAGTTAGGCAGGTTTCCAGAAGGCATTATTAAAGAAAACATTATTAAAGAGGCAGTGATTTCTTATCATTGGTAATGGTTTACCAAGAAAAAACGTTGTCAGAATAACAGCTCTTCGTTTTTCCCCAGGATCACTGGACTGAGAACGCAGGAGAAGGTGGAAGACATTGAGCTTAACTTGATCTTGGCATCTGCCAAGGTCTCCAGTGATATCCCTATTGATAAAGCTATGTGGGCTGAACAATAAATCAATTAGGCATAGCTGCCTGAGTTGCTGTCACTGAAAGGTATTAATTGATGGGTCAAGGTCAACCTGGAGGCAGCAGAATGCCTCAGGGCTCCACTCTTGGTGGAGCCTTCTCATGTGACATTTTTATAAGTGAGTTGGATGAAAATATAGAGCACACGCTGATCAAATTTCCAGATAAAACAGAGCTGGGGGAGAGAGAAATATTAAGTACGTTGGATGGAAGAATCAACATCCAAGAAGATCTCAGACAGCAGAGAAAATAAGCTGAATCCAATAAGATTAAATTTAATGGGATAAATATGAAGTTCTGCATGTGCGTCTAAATAACCACACTGCGAAAGCTCTTGTTCAGCATCTGTGAGCAGGACCTGGAGTCAGCAGGGTGCTGTGGCCAGGACAAAAGCTAACCCCACCTCTGGCAGGAGTCCTGTGCCCGATTCCACCCTTGCTGGAAAAGGTGTGGGGGAGGTGGGCTCACATTCACCACCGACATATGTCAAACTGAACTACTTTTTGGAAGGGGAATTAGAAAATTTCTAATTGAAAGCCTTAAAATGTATATGTGTGTATGTGTGTGTGTGTGTGTGTGTGTTTGTTTACCTTTTGTGTATAGTGTACAGTCACGTATGTCTTAATGATGAGGATACGTTCTGAGGAAGGCATCATTAGGTGATTCTGTTATGTGAACATCACAGTGTACTTACCCAAAACTAGATGGTATAGCCCACTACCCACCTAGGCTCTATGGTCCTAATCTTATGGGACCACTGTCATATATGCGGTCTGTTGTTGACTGAAACATCATTATGTGGTACATGACTGTATATATCTTTTGATATAAAATGTAAATATCCTTTGACTCCACAAAGGCACCTCTAGGAATATTTATCCTTGGGAAACACTCATGGGAGAGTGCAAAGATTTGGCCAAGAGCCAATTTCTCGCAGCCTTGTTTAAAATAACCAAAATCAAAAACAACTGTAATGTAAAAAAAAGCTATTAAATAATAAATAAATTAGCTTGTAAATTAATTGCCAGAAACCTCCATACCATGGAGTGAGCAGAATATTTAATACAATGGAAAAAGCACGAGCTGCTTTGTTAGGTGAAACACAGCAGTATGTTCTGTGTTTCCATTTTTGGTAAAAAAATATTTTTAATTTAAAAAAATTGAGGGTTCTTCACACATATTATCTGTTTAATCCTCACAAAAGCCTTGAGGGAAGATATTCTTATTTCCGTTTACAGATTTGGAAATCAAACCTCAGAGAAGTGAAAGAACTTAGCCAAGGTCTCGGCCAGGAAGAGGCAGGGCTGGCGCCAGCCCAGGGCAGGTGCGGACTGAGCCTGCACCTTCCTCACCACCTTGGTGAAACTGGCATAACTTCTCCATGTTTGGTGTTTTTGCTTCTGCCTCTGTGTCTCTCTAGAGCTGTTGGCAGCAAAAGCTCTTAAACAAAAGGGTCTGTGTTCTTTTCTTTCTCTGAGCCTCTGAGCGCTCTGACGCCACCACGGCATCTAGATTTACGTTACAGCCCCCGTACCCATCTTGGTGTTTAGCAGATAGTAGGCGCTCAGTAATGTTGGATGACAATCCCACCACCTGAGTGGCCCCGTCCCAGATCTGATTTGTTCTGCCCCTGGGATCCCCAAGTCCCCACCGTCCAGTCTTATGACAGCTTGGTCACCATGGCCTGATTTGGAACCACACAGGGACAGTTATGCTTCCCTGTTCTAGCAGGTGGTCCACCTTGAGGGGAAAGCAACATTGCAAGCTACAAGGTGGCCAAGAGGCAAAGCTGCCCCTCTGGGACTGTCTCCCTCCAGGGTCCCCTCAGCATCCCTCTCTAGTGTGATTGATAGTTCAAGCCTGTCTGGCTTTTCAGTGAAGGCTTTTGTCTCCCGCTGAGTTCCCTTCACACAGAAGGAGTGTTAGACTTTGTTTCCCAGCGGCTGAGACAAGCCATCCAGCAACTTAAAGCTGTCAACAATGCCATTCTGCTGCACTTTAGGTGGATTTAAACCAGCTGTTTTGAAGGCAGAACCAAATGAGAAGGGAGGGGGCTGAGGGCAGGGTTAGGGCTGTCAGTCTGGAGAGGAGCCTGCAGGCCCGCGCTGCCCTGGGAAGAAGGGTTTTACTGTGGAGCCAGGCTCTCCTGGAATGGCTCTGGCAGGAGACATTCTAAAGCCTCCTCAGCTGCTTGCTTGTAATTCGTGGCTAGACCCCATAAGGAGTCCCTAAGGGACAGGGACAGTGTCTGGCACCTAAGTGCTCAATAAATGTTGGTGGAATGAACAAAGGGAAGGAGGAAAGAAATCTTGCCTCGAGGTCATACTCAATGTCATACTGCCCATCTTGGTTCCCCAGGTCTGGCTTGTAGAATCTCTCTGCTCATGACCGTTTCTCCATCATCCATTGATCTCCATCACAGGAAGCTCTCTTTTCAGCCCAACGGCTAACCCGTTTGAATAATAAAAGCAAGGGCTTAGAACCTCCCTATGCAAAATAACGTCCCAGACCAGCAGCCTGGGAGCTTATTAGGAATGTAAATTAGCAGGCCCCACCCCAACCTCTGAATCAGAATCTGGGCTGGGGTGAAGAGCAGTGTTTTAACTAGTCCGCCAGGTGATTCTTAAAGTTGGCACACTGGACGCCAGGCCCTGAGAGCGCTGACTGAGCACTTTATAACATGTACTATCTCATTCAATCCTTACACACAACTGCCAAGTAGACAGTATTACTATTCCTCCCATTTTACAGGTGAGGAAATTGAGGTCCCTCAGTAACTTTGGGAGCCAGCAGTCTGCCTCCAAGGCCTGCACCACTGCACCAGCCTGCGAAGTGAAGAGATGTTAGCAGACTCTGGCCACCAAAGGGGAAACAGCCCCTTGGTCTCATTTTCCTGTTAATTATTTGTGCGCATATGTCTGTGAGAGTGTTTGTGGGGAGGGATGGACAATGGCATCGGCAGGTGGTTTCACAGCTGGGTGTGAATCTTTTGGACAATTTGCTTAACTTCTCTAGGCCTCAGTGTGCTCCTCATAGAATGAATTACATGGTTCCTACGTTCCTCCCCCCCAAAACCTCATGATGCCAAGGGGCACTTGCCTCCCTGCTGCCCGCCCGACGTTCTGTATCTCCCAGCGACCCTGGAGCCTTCAGGGAATGAGAAAATTCTCCATTCATCTCAGTCAAGCATGAATCAGAGGACAGTGGGAGCCACAGGGGGACTGAAGGAAATGCACTCCCATTCAGGACAGACATCGCACAGACACCGGGACACCATTGGATTTGATTCAAATACTCTGAGAAGAAGCCATTTTTCTGAAAAGCATATGCTCCCCTCAAACAGCCTCCCAGACATTCTGAGCCACGACTAAGGACTAAAGACCCGAGGGAGTAGATCTGTGCTGGCCCTGGTGAGCAAGGTGAGTAGAGACCGCAGGTGTTACATGCCACCTACCATCCAGTTAGGAAGGCAGGGAGCACAGTTCCAGGCTGCCTCTGCCCAGGATGCCCCCGAGCCAGAAATGCCTTTGCCTGGAGGACAGCAGTGTGCTTGCAGGCACCACTGCCCACCGAGGGCCTTGACGTGTGACCTGGGCCGGCGTCATAGAAGCCAGGCCAATCTGGAGGCTCCTTCCACACCCAGGGGGCCAGGCAGCCCCAGAAAGGAAGAGACAGCAGAAGCTGTACAGTACTCACCGAGGGTATGAGAGGTCCTTCTCCCAGTGACTGAGGGCTGGTGTGTCTTTGGCAGAAATACCAGAGCAATATAAAACCCCAGAGGCGGATCTTCTTTAAACAGAGTCCCTAAAAAGGCCAGCTGACGGTGTGTTAGCAATATTACCATATAAGGTGTTTTTTTCAATAAATCGGCCTTGGGGGGTGGGGAAGGGGGTTGGGTAGAGTGAATTATCATTTGAAAAATGTATGCAAAAGGACTCGAGTGGCAACAACCCCAGTGCTGGCGGATTTGTTCCTTTTATGCTGCACTTGCATAAACAAAACTCACACCAGGCCTTATAAGCTGCCCAGAGCAAGGCCAGATGCAGCTCTGCTCCTGGAGAGAGAACCATACCAAGAATGGCAGTGGGCCTCCTCCCTCCACACCTCCCTTTTCAGGCCCGGCTTCCCGCTGCCCCAGGGTTGGCCTGGAACACCCATGGAGTGTCCCCAAAGTCGGTGCAATTGTGCCTTGATTGGTGCAAGCCAAGGACAGCTAAAAGCCAAAGGGAAATGCCATCCATACCTGGGAAAGAAATCTTGTGTGTCCTCACCTGCCACCCCTCACACAAGCTCCTAAGCCCTGGGCTGAGTCACCCGGGGGTCCCAGGACACCTTAAGCCTCCTCTGGAACTTCGCTGCCTCCTATCATTCCCCCTTCTTTACTGGATTCCCTCTACCGGTCCCTACGTATTGGGAGTTGCAGACCAAGGGAGCTACCTTAGGTTTGAGGAACATCTAACAAGACTCACAAGCTTGCAGAATTTTCCACAGTCCTGTGGTTCTTGCTCTTCTTTTTGTAATTCATGTCCTTTCCCTGGGTAGCTGTTTCATTTCCCACACCGTCAGTTACCAACTCTGTGGCAGTTACTTTCAACTCCACATTCCCACAGTCCCAATACCTCATGCCTGATCCAGACTAAAATTACTGATTACCTATTGGACATCCTGAACCCTTGACCCCTACCCTCAACTCTGCTGTGACTCATGTGTTCCCTACCTCACAGTCCTTCTCCTCAATCCTTCAAGCTAGAGACCCCTGGGTCAGTGTAGCCTCCTCATTCTTCTTGCTCCACAACCATCGGGACACATTTCCTGGTGACCCTCTTCCCAGAAATGCCTCCTGGTTCTGCATCTTCCCTTCTGGCCCTTCTGGTCCATCCCTGCTGGTCCTGCCCTGCTTCAGGCTCTGGTCCTGTCTGTTCTGGTGCCGCCATAGCTTCCTGACTGGCTCTCCTGATTCTGCCCCATCTTCAAACCCAGTGGTTCCCAAAGTGTGGGCCCCAGGCTCACTGGAAGGCAGCATTAGCATGGCCGGGGACTGGGTTGTAAATGCAAATTCTCAGGCTTCACTCAGACGTATTGAATCAGAAACTCTGGGGGTGGGGCTCAGCCATCTGTGTTGTACAAACCTCCCTCCACTAAGGTGCCCAAGATACCTACCCTTCACCAGAAGAAGCATACATCGAATACCTGCTTAAGGTGTCCTGGGCCCCCCGGTGACTCAGCCCAGGGCTTAGGAGCTCGTGTGAGGGGCGGCAGGTGAGGAGGGCAAACAGGAGTTCTTTCCCAGGTATGGATGGCATTTCCCCTTGGCTTTTAGCTGTCCTGGGCTTGCACCAGACAAGGCACAATTGCGCTCACTTAGGGGACACTGCATGGCAGTTGTAGGTGGTTTTGAGCACAATGGCAGGATGCAGGTCTGTCTTCCCTGTTAACTGAGGATTGAGAGGGGCAGAGGTGTGGATAAGGAGTGCCTGCTGCCGAGAGAAGCCAGAGGAAAGATTGGGAGAGGCTTTACCAGAGGGCTTGTGCTTGTCTCCTGTAGAGAAGGGACACTGTAGCCCTTATGATGTATACTTACCCATCTTTTGACCACTGGCCTGGGTGCTTAGGGCTAAGTCTAAATTCCAGGCTCTCTGGGAAGCTTCCCTGAGCCTTTAGGTCCCTGGAGAAAGCCCTCCCAGTGGATGGTGGGGGCAGGCAAGGCAGCAGCGGGTGAGGTGGGAGCTGTCCAGCAGGGACAGAGTGCTGTCAGTCTTGATGGGCTGAGGCGGCTAAGAACCAGTGCTCCGGTAGTGAGCTCCCCCAGAAGTCTTCCTCCCTGGGCACAGACAGGGTGCCAGTCTCCCTTGCCCTGATCAGGGATCTAGAAGGGACATCATTTTCCTTCACAGAGTTAGGGTTGGTTGAATTCTCTTCTGATCACTCGGCACTGTGGCCAGGGTGGATGTTCCCACCTTGGTTGGTGCAATAAGCTGATAAACGATAAAGAGCCTATTGTCAAAAGGGATTGGTTGTGATTCAGGGTCCAAAGAGTCCACAGGTCAGGAAGGAAGGCCACCTGGAAAAACTGAAGCCCTTAGAAATGCTTAAGGAGGTGGAGTCTGCTTTGACTTTGATAGAGAGAAGAAGGTGGGGGGGAGGCAGGAGGCTAAACCAGGTGCCAGAGGTACTCAATTTTTTCTAGTATGAGGAAACCCACCGTTAACATTTCTTTCTTTGTTTTTATTTCCTGGCATCAAAAATCAATGCAAAAATTCAAAGAACACAAAAACGTGTATCTTAGAAAGCAAACACCCTTTACAATCTCTGAGTCAGAGATGGCCACCGTTAACAGTCTGATGTGTGTTCTTTCAGATTTCCCCCCCATTTTTATATTACTTTATAAAAATAGGACTATGTTATAACATATTTTTACAACTGTTCTGAAACTTGCCATGTTCTCTTAATAATATTCTTGGATGTTTTCCCACATCTGTTCATATAATTTTTAAAACCTTACCATGGTTTTCCATAGTAGGGCTATACCATAAATTATTTAACCCATATCCTGTTAATGGACTCTTGGGTCATTTCCAATTTTTTACTTAATGCAAACTTATGCAAAATTTCAAATTGCTGTAATTAATAAAACTTTATATGTGCCTTTGTGCACATATGTGGGTATATCTATATGGTAAATTTCTTAAAGTGGAATTGTTTGTTCAAGCAAGAACACTTGAAATATGGATGGAAACTGTCAAATTGTCTTCCTAAACGTTGTATGAGTTTACACTCCAGTCAACAGTGTATGAGACCGTTTCCTTCTGCACACGCTTTCAGACACTGAGTATCAATGTTCTTTTGTCCAGTACATTTGTTTCGTACATTTGGAAACATGTTAATTTTCATATGAATCGCCACCTTAGGATTGTTTAGGTTTTTTTCCTGATTACAAAAGTAAAACATGCAATGGTTAAAAAAAAAAACAAAAAGAAAGAAAGAAATATGGAAATAGGTGCCAACTGAGCCACTCTGCTCATCTGGTTTTCCTTGTGCCCAAGAGACCCATGTGGAACATTGGCAATTATCCATCTTCTTACTTTTTCCAAATTCTAAAGGAGAAACTCAGCATTTTCTTGTTTTAAAATTGAAATTTTAAATTACGTGGTAACTAATGAGAATGAACATGTTTGGCCTTTGCTAATCTTTTATGAGGGGTCTTTCTCTGAGAACGGCTGGTTCATGTCTTTGTCTATTTTTCTCTTGGATGGTTCACTCTGATGTTCTTGAGTTATAGGTGTTCTCGGTACATTACATTAGTGATACTAATAGCCTTTTGCCTATCACAGGGGTTGCAAATATTTCCCTGCAGTTCAACACGTGCCCTTTGATTTTGTCTGGTAGCATTTGCGTTATTCAAGTTTAATCAAATGTCTTTCCTTTTTGGTGTCTATGTTTGATAACTTTCTTAGGAAGGCCGAGCACTTTTTTTTAATTTTATTTTTAACTGTGGCCGCATATAACATAAAATTTACCATCCTAACCATTTTTAAGTGTACAGTTTAGTAGTGTTAAGTATATTTACTTTGTGGTGCAATCTCCAGAACTTTTCATCTTAAAAAACTGAAACTGTGTACCCACTGAACACTGTCATCCCTTTTCCCTCTCCCCCTAGCCCCACCATTCTACTTTCCATCTCTGTGAATCTGACTTCTTTAGATACTTCATACAAGTGGAATCATACAGTATGTGTCTTTTTGTGATTGGCTTCTTTCACTTAGCATGATGTCCTCAAGTTTCATCCGTGTTGCAGCATGTGTCAGAATTTCCTTCCTTTTCAAAGCTGAATAGTATTCCATTGCATGTGTGTACCACATTTTGCTTATCCATTCATCTGATGAAGGACACTTGGATTATGTCCACTTCTTGGCTATTGTGGATAGTGCTGCTATGAACATGGGTGTGCAAATATCTCTTTGAGACCCTGCTTTCAATTCTTTTGGATATATACCCAGAAGTGGAATTGCTGAATCATATAGTAATTCTATTTTTAACTTTTTGAGGCACTGCCATACTGTTTTTCACAACAACTACACCATTTTACATTCCCGCCAACGGAGCACAAGGGTTCCAATATCTCCACCTCCTTATCAACATGTTATTTTCTGTTTTTTTTTCATATTAGAGATCCTAATGCATGTGATGTGGTATCTCACTGTGTTTTTTTTAAGTTAAATAGATTTTATTCTTTAGAGTAGCTTTAGGTTCACAGCAAAATTGAGCAGGAGATACAGAGATTTCCCATATATCTCCCTCTCCCATGGCCTCCCCCACTATCAACATCCCCAACCAGAGTGGTACATTTATTACAGTTGATGAGCCTACATTGACACATCATTATCACCCAAAGTCTTTAGTTTACATTAGGGCTCACTCTTGGTGTTATACATTGTATAGGTTTTGACAAATGTATAATGACACGTATTCATCATTGTAGTATCATATATTTTCCTCTCCTAAAAATCCTCTGTGCCCCACCAATTCATCCCTCTCCACTCCCACCAACCCCTGGCAATCACTGATCTTTTTACTCTCTCCATAGTTTTGGCTTTTCCAAATGTCATATAGTTGGAATTGTAAAGAATGTAGCCTTTTCATATTTGCTTCTTTCACTTAATAATATGCACGTAAGATTCCTTGATGTCTTTTTATAGTTTGATAGCTCATTTCCTTTTAGTGCTGAACAATATTTCATTGTCTGGGTGTCCCACAGTTTATTTATTCATTCAACTAGTGAAGGGCGTCTTAGTTTCTTCCA